GCCTAATAGTAATAAAGCATTACCTTCTTACTGTTGTTTTCCTTTGCATATATTGTTTGCTCAATATTATTTTTGTCCTGTTCTTTTATTTTCTCTTCTTTCTCTTGTTATTTATTGCAAACTTTGTTAATTCTGTTTTTTGGGTATTTCTGACTGTTATATCTAACCACGGACAATTTCTCTACATCGTTAAACAACTTTAAATTCTGTGTATGATCACTGAACTTTGAACAATTTAACGGATTCAGTTCTAGGGGATATATTTATACGAATGTATTAATCAATCTTTACTGTTGCAACTGTGTCTTCATTGAAATTCTTTTAAAATCATCTACTTAATCATATGTCTCCTTTTCTGTGACATTTCTGTTCTGCCTTAAATATGTCTACTTACCAAGGAATGCTACATTTCCACCTCTGTTTATCAAATCAGAAGTTTCCAGGGGTAGGCACGAGATAACCCTCTAGTTGATTTGCAGCGGCCTACTTTCAATGTTTGCTTTTGAATGAGATTTGTTCATTTAATCTTAGTGTTCTTATATATTTATTTCTTCATATCTGTTAAAGCACAGGAAATATGAAATCAAACAGTGAAGAAGAACAGAATTATACAAACAAACATTTATTTCAGCAAGCCTTCAGAACTGCTATATTTAATGTTTGATTTACGTACACTAATAATGTCAGCAGTAATATTGTCACAATAAGATAAACTTCCAGAGGAAAAAATGAGACGGGTTCAAGTCTTAAGGAGCACATTGTTTGTTTACGATTTGTTCAATCGGTGAATGTACACTCAGTAGTTGGGATAAAACGTATTTGGGATTCAAAACATCGACTCTTGACACATTTAAATCTTTCGTAATATACCTGCTATAAAGAAATAAATGACCCAATCTAAAGAAAGAGTAAAGATCAGATAATTTATGATGTTAGTTTGGTACATGTTCACGTGGAATAAGTCATGAAATGTTGTGTTGCACATTTCAAAACACGGCATTTTAAATCCTGGGTATTACAATTTTGGAGCGTTGAGTACACAGACATGTAATCTGATTGAAACATTCAGAATGCCCATTTAATCTTTTTAGAATACAGTTAGAACATTGAGGTTATGGAGGACGATTGAGAAGATTCATCAAGGCATAATACCAAATGAAAGACTTCACATCCGAGGGGTACGGCAACAAAAATAAGAGGTCTAATACCCCTCGTCCCAATAATAATATAATCCGCTGATGGTCAAAAAGTTTGCTAATTGTTTATCTGCGTGTCAATTTCCAAGAAAACATTTTCATATTTAATTCCTAAAGAAGTTGAAAATAGTTTCACTTGACACGAAAGCTGGCCTTATTAAACAGATCTTAAGTTATCCTAAGAAAGTAGATAGTTTAATTAGAAGACAAAACTAAGGTGAGTAGATGTTAAACTCCTAAATAATATATTACATCACTGTATTATGATCACAGGTAATAGGATTTTGGGACTGGTGCTACTACACTACGTTGCTCTTGACGTTAGAAAATACTATAAGCGATTTCATTATCATGAACATTAAGTGCTCACATCGTAACCAACAGGATGAAACTGGTCCTCCTGTGACTTGACTTTTTTAATGACACTTAATCTCTTTATCCTCTAAAATGCAACGGCTGACGATAAAGAAACAAAATTACCATACATGAGACGAAAGCATTAAAAAATACATAAAGACACGAAATCTTAAAGAATGAATAATGAAAGATTAATCACACGAGCCTAACTTTGCAGTCGAATTGATAGGCGAATAGAGAATTTGAAAATTCTAAAATGAGTACAAAAGTGAAAACAAATAAAACGACACGGAAATTTATAAAATAAACGGAATAGGTTTCAGATGAGATGACATGAACTAACAGAAGAAAGTTAAAAAGAATTGACTCCCTATTAATCAAATATATTGCTAGATCAATTCCGCATGAAAAAATTCTCTTCAGACCAAAGAAGACAGAACAAAGCAAGACCACTAATATGGGAAGATGAAGCCTTCAATCAAATAATACTCGATTATGATATACCTGACTGACTGACAAAATGGACAAAATGACCCACAGATAATTGTATGAAAGACTAAGATTTGATTACTATGAATTAATTTGGTTTGGTTTGGTTTGTTTTACAGCATATCAACCGCAATTTGTTATTTAATGCCGACAAGATTTTTATTACTGGTAATATTTTTTTTCAAAAACATATTCTTGGTAATATTTTTTTCCAAAAATCTATTGCTAATATTAAAACCTATTTTTATACTTTCATAGTGTTTTGACCACACCGGATCAGAGTGGACCTGGGAACACCAGCAATTAAGAGGTAGTTCCACTCTCCTCAAAACATTCTGATCAGAGGCCTTCCTGGGGATGTAATTTATCGTCTTATATATCTGACGTGGCTTTTCTAGCAAACTACAGAGGAAAATTTGAAAACAAATAAAAACTATATAAAGTTGTGGAACATTCAAGATAAGTGAATGTGTGTAATGGATAGAAAGTCTCGCTAGATCAATTCCAGATGTATAGTGAGTTTTATCCTCCTTGAATACCCCATACTTTTGACCTTCTGCTACATCTAAGCTACGCATAGGAAATCACCATGCAGGAGAACTAAAGAAATGTACAAAATTTAGACTGTCTCCAAAATTAGTGGAGAACATGGAGCAGTTTCGAAGAGTGCAAAAACATTGAAAAAATTTAAAATGCGAGAAAGAATACAAAATATTTAGACAATAACATTAAAATCAGCTAACATAACGAATCAGAACGTTGAACTAATGAGAGGATTTGCTGTCAGTTGACTTCCAGTGAATATACTCAGAAATTATTCGGTTAAGCCATCAATAGGTAATAAATAATAATAAATTATGTCTATTTTACAGTAATACTACTAATGTTATTTTCCTCCGTCTATTACTCTAAGTAATAAAAATAAAACAAATTTTGAAGTTAGACAAGATCGTCATTGAAAGGAATCTAATAAAACCTGGTATTAATGAAATGAAAGCAATAAGAAATACAGCTTTGTGATGATTCGACTCTGTGTGTCAAAATAAGCGAGAAGCTTTATGGGTCATCGCAGAATGGATATATAATAGTAAACGGCTTCAATTTGAATGCATCAAACCGTCTTGGAGAAATCATTGTTTGATTAAGATCTTGATGTGCTGAAGGCGTTTGAAGCCTCAAAGTGTCTCACTCAATAGACTGATGGTTTCAGACCAGACACACGTAAATCTAGTTGGTCAACGTTGCATATTAGATTGTTTTTGGTATTTGGCACAAACGAATTAAGATCTTATCATGAATCTACATTTCCTTATTCATTTCATTCAATACACGATTAGCTAACATTATTAACTACAATATTATTAAATTCCATCATCCTATTGAAAATTCTAAAGAAATTATTAAGATTTCTTGTCATCCAACTTTATTTTACCTGTTTTTGAATGACTAGATGAATACATGTTATCGAAAGTATAGCTTTTCTTGAAAAAGAAATCAATAGATTTTTACTTTTTCTCAGAAAATTTGTTTTTTTTTTATAAAAAATAATAACTGTCTTTTTCTTCAAAATTTGATACCATTTAAACGAAAACAACAGAATGTTATTTTTAAACACTGGATTTTTATAGAACTTTTATGTGTTTATGCCTTCAGGGTGTTGCTGATTATGACTCCACAACTTGACATCCTTTGTAGCTAGTAGCAAAGTGTCTTTTTTTTTACTTCCATTCCCTGTTCTGTCATCCTTTTTCACGTGCTTATTTGGTAAATTATTCGATATTTCCCACTTCCTCTCTTGCTTTCATTATATCCAGTGAATGTAAAATTCTTTAAGCCCATTTTCTTCATTAATTTCCCCCCAAAATTGAAACTGTTTCTTTCGGATTCTAAATATAAATGTTGTTAGCATTTTTTTAATTTATAAAGACGCGGTGTTTCTGGTTTTAGAAATGACTGGTAAATACTTAACTTCCTTCTCTCTCTTTCTCATTTTCTGCTTATATTCCTAACTTAGCAGCTCGTTAATTTGTTCTCAGTCGAAATGTAGGCATTACAACTTTATTACTGTTATTCTTAAATTAGCTCTTTTCGACAAGTGAACGGCCTTGAAGCTCCTGAGTCCGGTTACTTCACTCTCAGCTTGCTATGTCAAATTAGGAGACAAATCTTCAAATTTATATTTGTTCCCATTAATTTGGCTATCGTGTTTTGTAAGGGTAATTGTTATCCTAATGATTTCGCAGCTTGGAACCAAAGTTTCGAGATAAGTAGATGAATGCTGGTACAAGTTTAAATCGGAGCAACTAGTCTGCTTCCAATCGATAAAAGCACCTGCGCAGTAATTACCAGTTGAAAATTCCTCCATTTATAATCAGATATGGACAATGAATGCTAACAACCTTTCCTGGCGGTAGCGTTATCATTGTATGCGTCCTGCAATCTGTTGTAATCGTGTCCCAAATTACCAGTGACATATGCGTTGTCAGCATAATTCTTAAACACGCCACAAAATCTAGTAGAGCAAAAAGCTGAAGACATTGTTATATTGCTGGGAAATCTTACACTTCTAATTAGGTCACGAGTTGTTGCTGTTTTTCAACAAATGCCGACCTGATGATAGTGGAAGGAATCTTTCTCCTGATGAAAAGTACATGGGGTCTAAATGATGTGTTAATGTAAGCAATATAAGTGCAATGAAATGATTATTGTGGATTTTTGATGTAAAAAGTGTCTTCAATCTTCGGTAGGCATATTTCTGATTTAAGAGAAGAACATTTTTTACTACGACAAAATGTGATATCGAAATTTGATGCATATCTGAATACATATGGGCTTGACTAAACATTTAAAAACCTAAAAGATTGTAGAAGTAATACTGGATCAAGTGCGCCCAATTAGTGAATTATGCGTTTTACTTATTTATTTATTTTTGTTTTCTTTTGCTTCCTCGTTACTAAGTGCTTACATCCTTCATAGAGTATATTTCATATTCTTTCATTGTCTTTATTCCGCATTCATCCGCACATGTTACTTTTATTACTTCATTTTGTTTTGTTTTTCCATAAACCATTCTTTTGTTTCCTTCTTTTCTTTCTACATTCCCTCTGCGACGACTCATGGAATTTCTTTATTACCCCTAAGCTTTTATGGTTTTTCCTGTCATTATAAGAAATTGCTTTTCTTTCTCTCCATTCTCCTTTATCTAGATAATTTCTTCCCGTATTTTCTATCTGAATTTCTAGGAAGTTTTATCGTTATTTATATTAATTACATGTTTAATAACAAAGATGAGTACATTAGTTCAAATGTAAAAATTATAAATAATTATTTCATCTCCTTTTTAAACTGTTTTCGTTTTTCTCTTCAGTGAAACTATTTTCTTTTTCTTTTTCTGTGAGAAGGAGAGTGTCCAAGTTGTTTATTCATTCTACTCGGCGCCTTAGACTAAAAAGGGCTCGAAATTTTCCGGACAAGTGTCGAATCGGCCTACAGTTGATCCTATTTCGAATTTCCTCAACAGCTTTATTCTCAGAATAGAAATTATTAGCTATGTCATTTGTGAGTGACGTATGAGTTAGAATCTAACATCGCTACTCCTTCTGCTTTGTTGAAATTTACATGAATTTTTAAATAGATTAGAAGGTTAAGTGACAATAATAGAATAAGGTACATAGGATAGCGCCAGTCTTTTAAATACTAGCAGATTTCTTGTTTTGAAAATCTGCGTTCACTTCTTTAAATGGTTGGTAGAACAGATTAGAAGGCTTAATAGAAAGATAAGTCTTATTCATAACTAAAAAGACAGGAAGTTGTGGATAGACATTATCGGCCACTTAACACAAAAACCTGACTTCAACACTGAGCACAAGCACTAGTGTGAAATCTTTGCAGCTACCACCGTAGCCATGACTGTGATGTTATTCTTAAGCGACAAATTGAGATCAGGTCACATAGATATCGATAGACTAATACTTAGCAGCAGTGAAAAGTATCAGCAGGAGAATCCTCTACAGACGAAATATCTCGACCGGGTAAAATTAGTGGTTGTGAGGAAATTGAACAAGCAAATGCGCATACGAGCGGATTACAATAAACGAATCGAAAATGTAGAAAATCTACTATGATTTAAAATAAAAAATGAATAGACTTGAAAAAATATTTTTGTTAAAGTGATAATTTATTAAACGAACAACTATTCCTTTGTATAGAGAACTTAAAAACTATTGGCTCAGCGGTATATATTATTTTAGAAGATAAAGAAAATTAGTAAAAAACAAAATCAAAAACCCTTTAAATAAAAAAAATTCTCTACTTGGCTTTAGAGGCTGAGACATGTCTGCATAGAAAGAAAAAATATTTACATATTTAGTATATTTTTATCGGTAGAAAATTCCAAGTTACGATTCTTTTTACAAACAGGATAACTTGTTAATTTTGTTTTTCAAGATTTATTTAAAAATTAAAAGTTGGTTAATATTTACATGTCAATTAAATCTACTTTTGAACATTCTACATCGAATGAAAGTTGTTTCCAGATTTAATATAATTCTAACCTTTTGCTAACAAACGTATTTACCACTGGGTCAGGGAAATGTCATATGTTTCAATAAATGATACAAAAAAAGGTACATAGGATCGAGCGTGAAACGGGAAAAAAGTGAATTATTAAGTTAGCGTGTTCAGTAGGTTAGCAATAAATTCAAACACAACAAATACGAAACTCATACACGAAAAATCGAAAGGTGTCACGCATCAACCAGAGAACTGATGTCTCTGGTCACCTAATGGAATAGTGGATGGGGAATTAAACTAAAGAAAGTTGGAGCAGAAATAAAAGTGGTGAATGAGCATATATCGCCTAGCTAAGTTAACATTGAAGGAAGGAACTAAATACCAAACACCCCTAAATTTCGGACGGGGTTGCTAAAGTTCAATCCAGTGAGAACAATATTCTTCAGCCTAACCGGCATCAAAGTGCCACTCTATGTCGTCCCCTCTTACTCGATACAAACGCGCATGACTCACCCATCTTTTGCCAAGTTCTGATGGAGGGAAGCGCCGCCTTTCCGTCCTAATCTTGACTTTAAGCTGATGAATAAGGTATTAGACCCGTTGGAAAAAGTAAACTTTTCTCCCACATAATATACCTTCTGACGTATCGCCCAAATTCCGAATCTCGTAACACCTAACAAACAAAAGAAGACAGATAGAACTGGCGCCGAGGACGAAAATCTTACCGCACAACTGGCGAAACATGATGCCCTCCGCAATTTGTACAACGGGACTACGACCCTGCAATGAAAGAAGGCGGGACCAATGACAGGTGAGTGGTGCTTCAGTATTAGTGAGACATTTCAACCCGCAAGCCCACGGCCTTACAGAGCGATGCTCCTGCTTCGTCAGAATGAGATCACCTATCAAATCATCCGGAATGATCCTCCTCTCAAACACCTGATACGGAACAACGACTGGACGTCGGAGAGGCCACCCGTCGCCCGTAAGATGTACTTGAAGGCAATCCGACATTCACAATAGAAGGAACACTCGTCTCGGGGTAAACGGCTGCCCTCCTTCTTTGACGAGCGCACAATTCTCAAGGATGGGAAGTTCTTATGGGCATCTTTCTTCCAGAATTCGCCATTCTCATCCGACTGGAAACGAATCTCAAACCGCCCTCAGAGGAGTGGAGGTAACAGATCTCGCGACATAACTTGGAAGCCTTGCCTCCCCACAAGAAGGAGAACAAGTGCCTTACGAAATCCAATAGATTGGGAGTGGAAGTACGGAGAGTCGGTAAAGGAGAATCGGGTATATGTGCGAGGCACATATTTCCGCCTTTCCCCTCAAGGAAAGATTCCTCTGGGATCACATCCAAACTGCGAGCTCGGCCTTCTCCTGCACCTCCGCCCAATTCATTTCTAAGAAGCAGACACCAAGTATCTTTACCGGGCCGTCCGTCCAGAGAAAAGCTCTGTGAAGAGAAACTCCCTTCCACAAACTCAACCGCAAGCCAACAGATTTATTGCTGTTGATCCTGAACCGTTTTTGACCTTGCGAAGCAACTTAATCAGACTCTGGTGAAGCGTTGTGATATAGACCCTGCTTCATCCAGTTGTTGTAAATCGTTTTCTCAATTACATTTCTTAAGGAAGATTAACTAATCCCGGAGTCTTGTCAGACCAGGCTCCCTGGTAAACAGCTCCTGAAAGTAGTCTCGGAAAACCTTGTGGAATCTTCCATATTAATCTTCCACCTCTTTCGGAAAAATGTTTCCTTCCATAAAACAAAGCCTTAACCAATTAACATTTCGTTTCAGTAAAATCCAATCTTCTATTGGTTAAAACTGTAGCAAAGTCACAACTGAACCTTTTCCCGCCTGAGGTAACTGGAGCCGATTTTAAACACCAAACTCTATATAAACAAACATATGACTCAATTCAAGCCAGTCAGTCATGAAAATTTCAAGAGATCAATACAAACACCACTCTGTTCAATTTACTGACTTGCAACCACTTAAAGTTTCTCAACAAACTCAACGCAGCATTCAAATAACAATCCAAAGCACATTCTCGGCTAAGCAACAGGGAAACGACCAACCTGGCAACCATTAAAGTGTTGGCTGACAGGGCTGATTATAAAAATCGCCTCTTTTACATCCAAGATCGCAATAGCAACCTCAGATTTCTGGTCGAAACAGGCGCGCAGATCAGCGTCATACCACTGAGCAGCCGTGACAAGTCGATGACAAAACCCAAGGAAGCTTTACTCAAACTACAAGCCGCCAATGTCACACCAATCAGCACATACGGCGAACGCATTATGTCCCTCAACATCGGCCTAAAGAGGGAATTTACCTGGACCTTAACGATAGCCGATGTTGAGACGCCAATCCTCGGGGCAGATTTTTTGGCGCATTTCAACCTTTCTGTCGAGCTTTCCTCACGCACACTTACGGACATGTTCACAACGCCGCGGAACACTGTCTAAACATTCGACAATTGGTTTAACCGCATTAATCCCAGAAGCCAACTGGTACGAGAACTTACTCCGTCCGTATAAGTCGCTCTTGTCACCTTTTACTTATGCGGAGCCTATCAAACACAACACTACACATTCTATTAAGACGACTGGACCTCCAGTTCATGCACCACCTCGTAGTTTGCACCCGACAAAATTACGGGTAGCTAAGGACGAATTTGAGAATATGCTTAAGTTAGGCATAATTGGACCAAACCAAGTAATCTCACGAACACAAAATACTTCATCATCAATCTAGCAGAAAAACATACAACTGTCAGCATCGATCGTTTGAAACCAGCCTACATTAGTACCGACAACACAACTTCAAGTACGTCACAACCAAGACCTGATTCCGTACCATCTTGTACACACACTTCTTCAACACTTGAATCAGTAGCCAGCACACCTACTCGAACCAGATCGGGTAGACATGTAAACTGGTCTGCCAAGTTCGCAACCTGTCAGACATATTAATGATCATCTTATCCATAGACCATTAACCTGGGAGGGGTATTGTGGAATCTTCCATATTAACCTTCCACCCTTTTCAGAAAATGTTTCCTACTATAAAACAAAGCCTTAACCAATCAACAATTCGTTTCAGTAAAATTGAAACTTCTATTGGTTAAAACTGTAGCAAAGTCACAACAGAACCTTTTGCCGCCTACGGTCCCTGGAACCGAATTTTAAACACCCAACTCTATACAAACAAACATATGACTCAGTTCAAGTCAGTCAGTCATCAAATTTCAATAGATCCATACAAACTCCACGCTGTTCAATTTACTGACTTGCAACCACTTAAAGTTTCTCAACAAACTCAACGCATCATTCAAATAACCATTGTCCGCGTGGATATTCATCACTGCTATACCTACTAGAGTGACTCGGTGACTAAAATCACCAAAAAAGATCTAAGTTTGGATTTTAAATTATTCCACCTCTTATATCAAACCACAGCCCCGTCACTTCGCCCTGTACATTAGTAGTAGCTCACCAAATAATGATGTGTTCAATTTGCAGAAGCCAAACATATTAATCTTAGGTTTTTCTAATTTTACACGAAACCGGACTAGCCTATGATCCGAGTAAATTATATAAATGGAAACTTTGGCAACCTAAAAGCCTTATGTCCACGATCTTAAATAGAATGGTCGCTGCAGCTAGAAGGCACCACCGAATCCGAGTTGCCACTCTTAGTCGAAGTTCATGCTACCTTCCGCGGGTGCCAATTTCTATACTTATCGAGATCAAACCCGTCGATAAAGTCCCGAAACGACTTATTGTGACACCATTTAGGGAAGCAAGGAAAAGGAAGAAAAGAAGGGAAAGAAATGAAATTTTGATAGTGAAAAATGGTGAAAGGTTTCATTGCCATTGTCGAGAATTCTAAATAGATAAAATTAACTGTGTCGTGGTGGCGGACTTATATTATCGGAAATAGATAACAGCCACTTGGTGCTGGCGAAAATCTAGTTGACAAGTTCCAGATCGGCTAGCTAAACTCCGGGACAGAATAGATAAACATTTAACTGTGTCACGGGAATGCCATTTGGGGCTTCCACAGAACACTACTCTTTACAAATGCACTAGCAGCAGGCGAATGATTTTCGGGGAATGAGGGGGATGAGTGCTCGACACAGCGTGATGTTTAAACGCTGCAGTTCCGAAAGCTGGCATGAATTAAAAGACGCGATCAGAAAGGGATATTGGTCTTCTGGGGACTAACTTCCACAAGTCTTTTTCTCTGGTCAGGAAAAGGAGAAGTGACCAGCATATCCAAACTAACAGCGAGGTGGTATGCGCCCAGTCACAATTACCAGCAACTTCAGAACCCTAATGACAGACACTTGAGAATGGAGAGGAAGTCTTTTCGGTCTAACATGATTTCAAAACTACACCCACCCACCCCGGTCAGGCTATTGTAGGAGGCACACAGTATCTCACCATACTGCGAAAGGAACGCAGCAATATGCTCCCCAATAACTGAGGAGAGGTCTCGAACAATGCTACTTTGATCCAAAAACTGACTCCGTCCGCAAGATTAGATCTTTTATTATCAGCTCCATACTCGTGGCTTTCACACAACCTTCTGTCGTGGGTAGCAATATGTCTCACATGAAGAAGCCAGAACCCTTTGATATTCTCTATGGCTTAAATCCTAGGCACTCCAGGTATTTTACCACTGTCTTTCGTGTAGCGACAAATTTTGCGCGTGCGCTTCTCCTCCACGAAGACTGACACTATTCTTTTGGCGATTTTCTTAAATTCTTGGGGCTCTTCTAAGTTCTACCTTCTACCGCAAAGTGGACGTCATTCTTGGCTTGCTCCAAAAACTACGCAATATTGTCAATGCATTTTGAAGGTGTTGACTTTCAACAAAAGGAGATTCTCCGGCCTTTTTGTTTTTGTCCGAATGGTCTGCTATACTTCCATAATTTTCTTTGTCATCTTTTGGCCAGTAACGGCTTCCGTACTTTTTAGGGACATATTTTGGCCATTATCGGATTCCGTACGATTTGAGGGCATATTTTGGCCAGCGTATATTTCTTGTCCAAATTTTGGACATTATTGGCCTCCGTAGAATCGGCTTTTCCGCTGAGACTTTTTTGGGAACTTTTAATTCCGGGTTCTCCAGTGTCATTTTTATCAGGCGGAAAATTTTTGAAGGTTGATCTAAACAAATCTTTTCGTTCGACCTACTTTGATCGGCCATAAATGATCTTTCAAGCAGAATTTTTCCTCGTGGCAAATTATATAGAAATTAAGTGGTGGGGAGATAAAATGTAGCCAAAAATATAAATTAAAATAAAGTGTGAAGAAAAAAAAGAAAATTAATATAAAAATCCAAATCAATGAAAACAATTAAAAAATAAATTATAAACGCTTGGTAAATAAAGAAGGAATTTACAGAAAGTAAAAAAAGAAGAAATAATACTATACAATCTAAAACTCCAAAATGGAAAAAATAAAGAATCTGGCTTGACGAGAAAATGTAAGTTGATATTAAATTTGGTGAAAGCTACCAAGAATTAACCCGAAAGGTTAAAATAATTAAAGAAATAATACAAAAAATACAAACTCGAAAAAGAAACTGGGTTGAAAAGGAAAAAGAAAAATGGTCTTAAATTCAAAGAAAAGTACGTAAAAGGAGATAACGGTAGGTGAAAAGTACTAAGAAATAACCCGAAGGGTTTAAATGAGAATAAATATCGCCCTATGACAGAAAATGAAAAAAAAAAGTTAGAAATGGCAACGGAATGAAACAAAACAGTAGCCTATAAATAAAAGAGAAATGAAAAAGCCTAAGTGTGGAGAGGACGAATAAAACGGCTTATCAGAAAAAAATTAAAAAGTCGAAAGGAAAAGGGATTTTAGTACAAATAAAAGCCTTTTAGTTTCCAAGTAAAAACAATAAAATATAGATTAATTAATGAAATAAAACAATAACAATGAACTGGTGAAGCTTTGTTGCACCAGAAAAGTAAAGCCGACAATTAACACTGAAAGAAAACGAAAACGAAAACGACAAAAAGTAAAAAAAAAAAATAATTATCAAAAGATCAATTCAACGAAAACCAAGAAATAAAAATAATAAGTAAAATCAAATTAGCTGAAGGAATTCGGCTTCAAATGTTCTTAATGGGTTTCAAAAAGGAACATTTCGGCTGAAAATTTCTTGACGGTTTCGGAAAAATTAACAAAACCGGCTACGTCCAAAATGAGACTTCAAAAACAATAGTATTATCATTATTTATTGCACAAAGGTACAAATAGAGCACAAGGCCAACAAATGCGAATGGGGAAGGCTGGTATTCATCTGTCTTAAATTAAAACTTAGCTAGCCACAACCACTGACCAAAACATGCCACAAAACACGTTCTTACTTTGGAGGAGGAGGATAATTTTTTAAACATTTTAAACCCCAATAAATATGTACAATACAAAAGATTTATTTACGAGAAACAAAAAAATATTATTAGTAATACTCCACCCCAATTACTAAATGTAGCAGCAACATCAGTTAACTGGAAGAAATTAATGCGAAATTAATTGCTGCCAACCCTTTTTACGAAGCTCAGGCACTGAAACATGTCAGGTGTTTGTTCGCTTAACTTGAACTTTTCACACTCCCTGTTTTCGATACTAGCATACCTGGCATAATCTTCATATCCTTTTTTTTACATTGCCAACGTGTATTGAAAATGAACTTCGTTCACTGAAAATTTTACTTTTAAACAACCATTCAATCGATTTTTTTCGGCAGAATGTAATTAACGTATTTTTCGTGTTCCATGGTCCAAACTTTCTTAGTAACAGGAACACGTTTTCTCGCCTGACGAGCTAATACAGTCTTTTAAAAGATTTCTTCATAGCGCCTGTAGTATTCTGTAAATGTGACCTCTTCATCAGGATTATATTTAAATTCGCCAATTGAGAAATCATAATATTCATAAAAAGTTCTAGTAATTTTTACTCTGGTTATTTTTGTCTCAACAATGTTTCCTGGAATTATTGTTGCTGAACTTGTTTTCATTATTCTTGCTGTTGATTTATTAATTGCAACGTTACTGCTTTCAAGTCCTCCATTTTTAATTGTTGAGAATTAGCTTCCAATTTATATTTCAGATGTTTTGATGTTCCGTTGTTTTCGGCGTAAGATTTATTTCGACATACTGATTTCTCAAGTTAGAAAAAAAAGGATATTTATCCGCCACTATTCAATCGTCCTCGGCGCCAACGTTTTGTGATGAAAAGTCTGACAAGACACAACCCTTAACACGACATTAGATAAATCACTGCAATAGTATTATCTTCTCTCCTTTTGCCCAGGACTAATTAAAAATGGATCAGTTCATTCATGCTAGTAAGGAGGATAACTGGCTCTCACTACAACACTAATCATATATATCATATATTCTTGAATAATGAAATTAATCCGATTGTAGCTACAATTGTTTCACAAT